AAACACAAGAAGTCAACATAGTTGAAATTCCCTCCAAAAAAATCATCACCAAACCCAAACACATCCAACTCACTCCAACCCCACAAAACATCCAATTTACAATTACATCACACCTTCTAATTTCCCCTTTATTACATTATTCTTTCCTTTCCTCCCAAAAAAACAAAAAAAATCCCACAAATAATTTCAAACTCTCTCTTTCTCTTTCTCTCTCTCATCAAAGAATGCCCCAAGTTGATCTCGCCTCAGTTTGCGCCGGCGTCGCACACGACCGCAAAGTCACCTGCGAAACCACCGCCATCACCGCCAACGACGACGATTCCACGGCGGAGGAACCGATCCCACCACCGGATTACGCGCCGGAATCATTCTGGCTCTCCAAAGACGCCGAACTCGATTGGCTCGATCGCAACGCTTTTCTCGACCGGAAAGATTCCGGCAAAGGTGGCTCCAATACTAATTCCAGTAACCTAAATCCGGTTCATATTTCCGCCGGTTCTCAGCGTTATTCGGCGAATTTGAAGTCAAAAGCGTCGTTAATCGCCCTTCCTAAACCGCAGAAACAGAATTACGCTGAAGTGAAAAACCGGCGACATTGTCGGCCGTCGAGTGTGCGGCTTTTTCCGAAACGGTCTGAACCGGCAGGTAAACCGGTGGTTGAACCGGGTTCGCCGAAGGTTTCTTGTATGGGAAGGGTGAAGTCGAGGAAAGGGAGTAGAAGAGGGAAGAACCGGAAGAAGGGAATTGAGTCGGGTTTGGTTAGGAATAAGAGTGTAAAGGAAAGGAAACCCGGGTTCTGGAAGAATTTCCGTTCTATCTTCCAGTCTAAACGGGGTAATAATAACTTGAGTTCACAACCTCAACAACTAGACGATGAGGAATTTGTTGGAGTGGTTAAGAGGAATAACTCGAAGAAAAAACGCGGGTTTAACTCGAATAATAATTGTGGCGGTTTGAGTGAAGTAGGATCGGTTGAACCGTCCGGTTTAGGGGGAATGAAGCGGTTTGCTTCGGGCCGGAAATCGGATAGTTGGGCCGGTGACGTGGAGGCTGACGGGGCAAAATCTGAGCCGTTGGGTGGTGGTCCGATCTGGCGGCGGAGAGAGGTGGGCCCACCTGTAGAGGTAGATGTGGATCGTGATTGGCGGGCGGTGGGACCCATGTCTGTATGACGTGGGAGAAGGTAAGTGGGTCCCATTTTGATAGGGTGACGTCAGGATTTATATATATACACGTCAAAATTTATGAGCTTGAAAAATTCGAGTGTTATTGTTTTTATATTTTGTTGGGTCAATTTTTGACAATGGTGTAATGGTGTGTGTTGTTGTTTCAACTTCACGTCTGAGTTTTTATATATGTTCATACTTTAGGTTATAGGATTTTTCATATTTTTAGTCACATGGTTGAAGAATTTTGTTATATAGTTTGTAAATACAATTTGTGATTTCTTCTTCTATATAGAGTTCATGATCTTATGAATTTACTTTTTGATCAAAAATAACTATCACGATAATTTAAGATGGATGATTGAAATTATTCTAACTCGAGCAATCGATAACATTGAATGTTAGGACTTTGGAGTTTTAAGCGTGTGAATTTGAAATTTATGTAGTAAACTTATCAATCTTGCTTGTTATAGATAAAACTTTAGACTTAGTTAATCATATATCGCATTATCCATAATACATAAGCTCTTTATTGATAATACGTAAGTTCTCTATTTATTAGTGAAGAATCGGGGAATGGAGTAGTGGTTGTTGCTTCCATCTATCTCCCCCCAAATGATAAGATTGAAGAATTCTCGATTCTTCAAGGGAAGCATATTTTTTTTATTGTTAGACATTTTATTTTTGGTGCAATAATTGTGAGACATTTTAGATGTACAAAAATTGGATAAATTTGTGATATCATGGAGTTCTATAGGTCCATATATAGCTTGTTGGAATGCATCAAATATTTTGATTAATTTTTCCAACCTAACCTTTGCTTGAATAAGATTGTACTTGGTAATAACTAGTAAACAATTAGCTATTAGTCATTTGTATTAGCTTTATTGGGTGCATTATTAGCTGACTTTACTAACTGATTGCATAAGATGTTTGGGTTAAAGTAGCAACTCTAATACGGAGTAGTATGTGTATAATGCTCCGATAAAAATTTGGCGCTTCGGTTATGACTTTTTCAAAAATTAAATGTTTGTTTTGCTCAAACGTTGACCATTTGGTGTACTAACTTGTAACTACTAACAACTCTCATGCACTACCAATTGATAAAATAGATGTGCTATCAATTACTCCGTATTATTTAGTCAAATAAGTTTAGTGAATCAGCTACTTCCTCCGTTTACATTTAGTTATAACATTTTGATCAGAGAAATGTTACAATTAAAAAGTAAACATGAGTATATACATATGAACTACTTTTCATGTAATAGTTTATTTGGTACATAATCTATATTACATTGACATGATTTGGTGAGTTTTTAAGCATTCATTATTTCGTTCATGTTCCTCATGAATGAATAGACATAGAATATTTAAGGCAAATTTGATATCTCCACAAATTTTTAATTTTTTGTTCAGACCATAAATTTCCTTTTTTGTTCATGTAATAGTTTATTTGGTACATAATCTATATTACATTGACACGATTGTTTTATGTCAAATCGTTGCATATAACCTGTAACGGAAGTAGTACTACTAAGAGTTTAAAATTAGTCATCTTGATTCTTAAAATTGACAAGATTGACAACAATGTAAAGTAGAAGACGAAACTACTAACTATAATTTCTAAATTAAACTTTTGAATTGAAGGCCAAAAAAACATGAAAAATGAAACACTATTGTACTATGATTGATGTGAACATCGCTAATCTTTCAGTGGCAAAGGAGGCTCGAGCCAGTGGCGGACCCAGCGTTGCTGGGTCACGTAACCTAGGAATTTTACGGTAAAAATTTAATTCATGCTAGAAATAGCACAATGCAGCTTTGTGGTTCAGCGGTAAAGTAAATGCTTTGAGTGGAGTCTTTCTTAGGTAGGCAGGGGATCAAATCCCACCACATTATTCCTACTTTAATAAAAGAATATGTATATTTTTAATTTTTAATTTTTTTTAAAAAACTTTTATACATTTTGTTTGACTATTTTGTTTTTACTTCACAATTTATATACTAGCCTATTAATTTCTAAAAACAATTTCTTCATTTCATTTTTATGACTGTATATTTTTTTTCATTTTAATTTTTATTACATGTATTCAATAAATTCTTATGCAATGTTCGATAACTCCGAAAATCTGAACCCATAATGGATATTTTTTAATCCGTCGCCAGTGCTTTTATCTATTTAATCCTAGCTATGTAGTCCATAATAGTAACCTACTCCGTATATTATATGAGTAATATCAATTAATCTCATTAAAATTGTAACTTGATTTTTAGAATGAAAGGAAAAATACATGTGATATATCAAGTTTTATTAGTCTTAAAATTCATCCTCTTCCTCCACAAAATCACCCTTCATATAATCCATTTTTTGGATTGATGGATAATAGTGACCTAGCACCCATAAAATCCTGGATCCGCCACTGGCTCGAGCTAAGGGTTTATGCTGAAGACAAGTTTGTCATTTGTCTATACATGTCACTATGTTAACCACCTTTGTTCAAAAAAAAAAAAACCACCTTTGTGCAGGGTATGTGAACAATTACTACTCCATTTTAATAATTGTTCTCACACGCTTCCAAACTTACAATATCCCCATAATGTTCTTGCTTTTGCAAATTATTTGCTCCGTTTCTATTTAGTTGACACGTTTCATTTAGGCACACATATTAAGGAGAGAAGAGAGAGTAAGAGAGAATGATAAAGTAAGTGAGGTACACTTAAAAAGCAAGGTATAAAACTTACCCAAAAAGGAAACGTGTCAACTAAAAAAACTTCCTAAAAAGAAATACGTGTCAACTAATAAAAAACGGAGGTAAGTATTATACTAGTACATATTTCATTAGTTCATTATAATCACGTGATTCAGAGATGTTTTTACATGTATCTAGGTGCACAAAGATAGAATTATGCGTATTCATCTAAATAATACCCAAATTCGCAACTAATAAAAATCGGATGTAGTATTAATAACCATATCCGAATACAATTAAGTTTGAAAAATTTCATAGGACTTGAAAAAGATTCAACTCTCAAAGGCAGATAAATAGAATTTAATCCTAGATTTTTATGTATGTGTAATATTTGCGAATTAGGGCCTGTTCTCTTACGTTGAAATTCAGTTCAGCTCAGCTCAGTTCAGTTTAGCTCCTAATTTTCTTCTCTTATAAAATATTCATTTCATTTTAGTTCAGTTCAGCTCAGCTCAGCTCAGTTCAGTTCAGCAGAGTTCAGTCAATGAGAACAGGCCCTAAGTTAGTTAAAGGTGACATCTTCTATTATTGAGATGCACAAATGAAATATCTTGGCTTGCAACCAAATCCACTAACTACAGACCAAAGTGGTTTATTAGAAGCTAACTGCCATGCATTTGAAACTAATCCTAGATCAATTCAATGATTAGTATGTAGTAAATACAGTTGTTTTATACAATATAGTATCTCCATGATAGATGTTTATGACTATGAAATCCTAACTAGGTGGCTACTATACACCTGATATCAATTATTTAAGCTTTTCCAATCATTCAATCTTTATTGTTGTAATTAAATATTTAATTTCCCTATTTGGAAGTCATTACATGATTAGCAGTTTTGGTCTGTTTTAGGTGTAATATTCCTAAGATCAATTCTATCGTGTAATGGAGTAGATGTTACAAGGATCCGAAATTCTTTATACTACTTGTATATTACATTTATATGTTGGACGGTTTGGTAGTTGATTGTGCTTTCTTTCGATTGTAGAAAATTTAGTATCATATTTCATTCGTTCCCCAAATATTGCAACATGGTGACGGGACACCGATTTTAAGAAGAGGAAGGAAATAGAGAGGAATAAAGATATGGACTTATTATGTTGTTAACAAGGAGAGTAAAAAAGAGAAAACATGTGCAAATAGAGAAATATTACAATGTGTGAAATGGAAAAAAGTATAATATTATTTTAATGCGAGAAATAGCAAACAGGTGTGTGAAATGGAAAAAAGTATAATATTATTTTAATGCGAGAAATAGCAAACAGGTGTGTGAAATGGAAAAAGTATAAAATTATTTTAATACGAGAAATAGCGAACACGTGATTGATCTAACGCCAGAATTTTATGGATTTAACAAATTCCGGCATGCATTTGGTATTATTATGTAAAAAAAAATGTATTAAAAGTGGTTTCCCACAAAACACTAATAAAATGTTGTTTTATTACTCATAATTTTTCAATACATTTTTAAAAAAATAAATGATAAAAATTAAAAAGTGGAAGAAAAAAAAGAGTCGTACTAGCTCTTTAAAAATTTGTCTTGCTAGCTAGACAATTGCAAGCCCCATTTAAACAAATGGCTAAATCAACTAAATTAAACCTCATCATACATCTCGACCTTTCTTCCATTCAATGGTTGCAGGGGCCGTGCATTGTTCTTGTTTTCTTCACAAAGAGGAGCACTTAATTCACCCACTTGTTCCACTGATATTGTTTTAGCCTATAACAAAAACATTTTAATTATGTTATTATGTTATAATATGCATGTATAGTGATAAATTTTTAACTACAACTTACATATAAAAATTAAATCTGAGAACTTAGGGCATGTTCATGTTTACTGAACTGAGCTAAAATGAACTGAATATTTTATGAGAGAAGAAAATTAGGAGCTGAATTGAACTGAAATTAAGCTGAAGTGAAATAGTGAACATGCCCTTATTTACTCTTTTTAAGAATTAAGTTGTCATGATACTAATCCAAATAAAATTTGTTAACATGACTATAATTCCGATTGAAAAGTACAGAACAAAGGAATAAATGATAAATTCGATAATTCTTTTTTTTTTCCTAAGTTGACGATAATAATTAAAATGGAATTAGTTTAATGAAATGGCTTATATGTAACATTTTTTTAAATTTTTTTTTTTGAATTTGAATTCATATCATGTCTATCTTTAAAATTCTCATGTAAGATACATTATTTAAAATATTTTATAAATTATTGTAAGTTTTTATTCATTAAATTTTTTTATCATGTTATTTTTTAAGGGAAAAAAAAGAAATAAAAAAAAGGCTAAAAAATATTTGGGCGGGAAAATTTTTGTTGTGAATGTGACATGTGTACCTAACGGATAACTATAGTGATTACTTTAGTATATAGTACTAGTTCTTTGCCCGAGCAACGCTCGGATATTCACAGGAAATTTTTTTTTATTTATATATTATTATAAGTTTGTATTTGTTTATAAATCATGTATATATTTAATATTTTATTTATTTAAAGTTATTGTTTTTATTTTGTAGGCTCTATATTCTCTTTTTTTCATCCGTTATCTAATTATTTCTTAATGAAAAAAAAAAGTTTTTAGCGGGAAATTCTTTAATGTAGGTGTAACACGTATACTTCTTAAATATTCTTGGTGATTACTTTAGTATATAGTATTGGAGTATAGATAGATACCTCGCAAAGCACATTCCAAATGACATTTTCATCACAAGGAGGAGAAGTGTGAGAGCCAAGATATCGATAATAATCGCGTGGCCATTTCCTCAAGAAGCTCAAATCAAACTTTGGGATGTCAATCCTTTGTTGTGTGCAAGGTTTTTTAGCTAGTTCTTGCAACTGGGGCTTCAACTAAAACAAGGAAAAAAAAAATCAAATCCGACAATAGTACAACTGTACAAGGTTAAAATAAACGTACAAATTGTTAAGCTACATATTCTTCTATAAATATGTACGAAGTATTATTTACTCTGTTTTGATTGATTAATAAGAAGTATGTATATTACGTATTATATTCTTTTGAATAACACAACTATGTTCCTGAATTATAAGCCACCTTTGATTGAATTCCATTCTAAGAATTTAAAATTTAATACTAAAAATGTCTTTTGAAAGTTTAACATCTATGCAGTCTATACTATTACGATTAATTCTTTATTTTAGAAAGTGATATACTCTGTATTCACAAAGTTTTATATGTGGCTGGTCACATAGTGTGGCCACTTCACATAATCACATACAAGAAAGTTAATCAAGTAATAAAGGGTTACGTTGGTGAGCAAATGAGGTTATTTTAACGCGTATGTAAGTTACTTAAATGAGAAATAACGGTTACTCTCTTAAATAAGTGGAATTATTATTTCATTTTTTTAAAAAAATAAAAGAATAGGGGTTACTCGAAAGAACAAATGAAGTTACTTATTTCTAAATGGAAAATTTGTCTAGAACTACCCGCAAGATAGGGTGATTTGTGAAGAACTATCCATTTTTTTTTATTTGTTTAGAACTACCCGCAAGTTTGGAAAATTTTGGGTACCACTACCCACTAACGTTTTTTGTCCCATTAAAACGTTATTTTGGTCCAATTATTTACTTTTTTCAATTACAATGGTCAATTAATGCTAAAATAAGCAAAAACCCCAATTCAATTAGGAAAAATTGATGGGAATAATCCCACCTTTTAAACGTTGAAGATTAATAATCCCACCTTTGGGATTCTTTTTAATAATCCCACCTTTGATATCAATTCACTTTAAATAGTCCCAACAGGTCAAGTAACCTGTTATAACAGGTTATTTGACACGTGGCGGCCTATGAATGGTCAAAAAAATAAAAATAAAATAAAATACATTTTAAAAAAAGTGATATTTTATAAAAAAAAAAAAAAACCACCCACCACCCACCACCAATCAGCTGCCCAGCCCCTTGCCACCCTCCCCGCCACCAATCAACTGCTCAGCCCTAACCACCCAACAACGCCGATCGCCCAAATCGACTCCCCTAGCGCCGACGCCCGTTCTCCGCCTCCCGCGAACCACCAACCTCCCTTCCACCGCCACAAAAACCATCGAAAACCAAGCATCCGACAACCCTTGAAAATCATTTTTCCGCCACAATCCCGAGCCCTCCCCTTCCTCCGTCCCGATCTCGGCCTCCCTCCCTTTTCTCCGGCTTCGATTTGGTGGATTTTCGATTATTAAATTGGAAGGTAGTTTTGGGTTTATTTGGTGGGTTTTTGACATGAATGGAGGTCAGGGGAGGAAGGCGCGGTGGGAATGGGGGATAGGTAAGATCGGCGCGCCGGAAATAGGGGACAGAGAAGGTCGGAGTTGGGTTGGGGATGGCTGGCCGGAGCGGCGTGGTGACGAAGGTTAGTTGCGGGGAGACGGGGTTGCTTGTGGGTTGATTTTCGAAGGTGGTTTTAGGGTTGGGTTGGCTGGGGTGGATAGCGGTACGGTGGTTTGGTTTCGGGTCCGGTTAGTGGTGGCGGTGGTTTTGGGTTTGGGTGGTGGGGTGGTGGGGATGGTGGTGGCTGTGGTGTAGCTTAGGTGGTGTTTTTTTTTTTTTAATTTGGGACAAATCAAATTGTGACACGTGTAAAATAAACTTAATAAAAAAAAATTACCTCTTTAGCCGGTCACTGGTCACCCGGGAGTATTTTGAGCGGATTGATATCAAAGGTGGGATTATTAAAAAGAATCCCAAATGTGGGATTATTAATCTTCAACACTCAAAAGGTGGGATTAACCCATCAATTTTTCCATTCAATTAAACCCCCAAACCTCATAAATTAAAATCCCCAAATAATACTACACTCATGAACCCTAAAATAAATTATGATTAAAACCTTAATTAGGTTAATTAAGGTAAATTAAAACCTTTATACAAATTGGGAGAGTTAATTGGGTGGCAAAAGTGAAAAAAGTGAGCTCCGATAACGTTTTAATTGGACGAAAATGTTAATGGGTAGTGCTACCCAAATGTTTTCAAACTTGTGGGTAGTTCTAAACAAATAAAAAAGAAATGGGTAGCTATTCACAAATGACCCTATCTTTAGGGTAGTTCTACACAAAATTTCCGTCAAAATACTTGAATTCACTTATATAATGAATTTGGGTTACTTTTATGAATAACATGAAGTTACTCTTATGAAAAAATTGAGGTTACCTATACATATAAATGAAGATTACTCTTATAACCTAATGTGGCCACCCCATGTGGCTAGCCACATACAAGACTTACCTTAGAAATGGATTTAAAAATCAAGAAATTTAAAAAAATTGCGGATTAAAAAAAGGGTAAATTCAAGTTTCTCTTTGAGATAAATGCTGTGAATAAATCTCCTCTCACAATTTAATCATTTTCTTTTATTTTTTAAATGATAAAAGTAAAATAATAAAGTGACACAGATTTCAATACATAAAGCTGTGAGAGGAGATAAATTAAAATGTTTATCTCTGAGATCAACTGGGGCTCCAAAAATGACATAATAACATTAGACATGCATGATTGCTTATTCTTCCTAACCGACGCAAGTGAATGTTGGCTTGACAAGAACCATATATATATATAGTCGTATGAAGTTATTAGGAAAGTGCTGACCTCTTATGATAATAATGCAAAGGGACATAAAAAGCGTGGTTGTGTTTTCTTTTTTGTTATTTGGAAACATTTATACAAAAACTATTTCTTCATTAATATTTTAACAAAGGTTTTTCAATTTATTGCGTATGTCATGCTCTTAGCTTGTTCTAATAATCAGTGGAAGCCCCATGTGATTAAGACTAATATGTTTTAGACCCCTTATTGATTAATAGTTAAGACTTTGTTTTGCTTAATATTTTGTCTAAAATTGTTTTTATCAGAATAGGACTAATTATTTAATACATAGTATATAGTATTTAAACTTATTTTGTTTGAATTTATTACTTAATGGCTTACTTTGTAACAATGATAGATATGAAGTAAAAAAAGGTTTAATTAGATTACCATGAACCATAGAGGCCCTAATTAAAATACCATGAACCATGCATAGAGGCCCTAATTAATCAATTGGTTGTTGTATTGTGTAGTGGTTATTAGGGCTACATTTGGTAGAAGGACCATGTGTTCGATCCCCCCGCAACAACAATTGGGAGAAGATTAGAACCTAACCACCAAAAACTGATTTCCGAATCCGAATTAGCCCAAGGGTGAACCGGGTGGAACACCAGAAAAAATAAAGGCTCTAATTAAGCTATGTTTGGTAAGGTGTACAAAAATTTCTTTTACTACTTTACATTACTTATTAAATGAAAGAGAAGTTTACACTACTTAATTATATTATCTCATTTATCTTTCTTTTATACCTCTAGAGTACTTCGTATGAAAGAATAACCTTTTTCCATATAGTACCAACTATCAAATTTTAAGATTTTAATAGAAAAGCTAGTTACAAATTTAAGATTTTAAATTTTACATTTGAAACAATTTTCATTGTGGAAGGAACCAACAAATTCTCAAATGATGTTTTAATTGGTTTAGTTTTATTCTTATCAATCAAACATATTTTATTTTAACCACATAAATGATAATAAGAGACTAAAAAAATTAAAGCGTATGATTACCATGTCAATGAAAGGACTAGGTGGTCCATATTTGAATAGAATCGCCACCACTGCTCGGCTGCCATCAGCGGCTTCGTGTATCTGTTGTAGCTCTGCAGCATATCTTACGTGGTTCATGCACACATCCAACTTTTATTAGCATATACACAAAATTAAAAAAAAAAAAAATAAATAAAAAAAATAAAAAATAAAATAAAATAAAATAAACCACCTATGTTTGTTAAAAAAAAAAAGAGCTATGTTATATGCATTATTATACTTGGTAGTAAGTATAGGGTGAGAGATTAGACATATTTATTATATGTGATAAATTAATCTCCTATTTATCTTTTTCAATGTCTAATCTCCATTAATAAATACGAGGAGGACGATGACTAATTAGAAAGAGGTGGTTTAAATTCCAGACAAAGTAAATAGTAATGAGAAAAATGACTTACGGGACACTGTTAAACCGATGCTCGGATGGAGTATGAAATTGAAGTTGTGTCAAATTATATGTCTTTCCATAAATTTTTAATCCTCCACTCCCACCTAAAGATATCTGCATAATGGATACGCATTTTGATTTCAAAATAATTTCTTATTATTTATGTACAGATAAACAAAACTTCAACCCTAATATAATAGCAAGGTTTAACCTTTATTGATTTAAATTAGCAATGAATGTGATAAAATAAATATATAGTGGGTAATATTCTCATACTAATAGAGAGATAAAAAAAGCAACGAAATATTAGTTATAGTAAAATTTATGATAGTCAGTTTTCAAGTCGAAATTTCAAATGACGGATTATTTAGTTAGTATAGAGTATATGTTAAGCCTGTTTAGTATATAGTAATTGGGCCGAACTAATAAAATCTAATCTCGTTAGGTTGTATATATACTTGTACATAGTCTAACATGAAATACACATCACTATTCTCTCTATTCTTGACAGTATAATAATTACATAATTTTTTATGTAATAAAAAAGCATATAATACGTATATTAGATTTTAATAATGTATTTACTTTTAATACTTAAAAAATTAATAATGAAACTCTCTATTTATATTAATTTTCTTTATTTCATTTCCAAATTATTTAATTATTTTTGATTAATTTCTGCTAATATTATCAACCACTCTTATGTCGTGCCAAGGGTATAAAAGATAAAAAATAAGATAATAACAAATCATGGAGAAAATAAAAATGACCAATTATTCAAATTGAAGCATATTAATGTGATTTGTTGTATTTTTCATTATCATCAAATTGTTTTAACTAAGATTTCTATTTTCAAACTTTTGTTTGCTCTCTTGCTACAGAAATGTTGAAAAGGGTTTACTCTGCCCAAAAGGGTTATTCTTCTTGCTATAGCATATTATTCTTTATTACATAAAATTCATTCCACCCTTCATTTAAAGTGGTCATTTCATAAACTAGGTATTTTATTTTGCTTTTGCTATATTCTAATTTTTTCAAATAAAGACAATTATATTATTTCAACTTAATCCAATTTATTTGTGAATTGTAATTCTAATTTTCGTATAATCAATTTATATTTCTCTCCGAAAAGTATTTACATATTAAATTACTTATAACTAGCGGGAAGAAGTTTGTGGGAGTAATTTATAAATCAAGTGAATTGAAAGAATTAGAAGAAAAGATATAGAAAATTGATTAACCTCCAAATGTTTGCCATCAGTAACAAATGTAGTGTTGTGAGTATCATGAAAATGGTATTCTCTTTCAAGCGGTTCTAAGGTTTTGTTGAGTATAGCAAAATATGTGTTGATATCTACTGGGGATTGCCTCTTACCCGATGAGCACACTGCAAAATTTACCATTAAAATTTATGTTAATACAACAATTATTTTGCTACATATATTTCCAACCAATTGAACATTAACAAAAAAATTAGGTATAATTTATTAATTTGTGCAAGGAATAAGAATAATAATGAAACTTATTTGGCATCATTCTCTTCAAAATGTGGTGGTTTTTTTTTTATCCAACATGTTATATTATACGAAGTATAAATTAAGGATATAGAAAATGAGAAAAAAAAATCTGAATATTATAGTATAATAGATTATTCACGAACTAAGGAAATCTTGATGAGTCTCCACATGTTAGTCAAGGGTAAACATTCTTATGGTGCCCATTTCTATTATCTTGTTTTGTGTGAGATTCAAACATAATTGACATACTATATCTAGACTTAACCAATTTGTAGTTTAGATCAGATGACATCCGCAATTTCAATATTTTAGGTATTTATATTTTGACCTAGCTACCCTATGTAAGTACGTTATGATTGTTATCCTTTTTTAAACTTTGTCTTTTCCCTACTATATAAATATATTGTAATATACGAGTAATATAATCATAATGTATTCAAAGATTAGTGCAAATGGAGACTTAAATTAGGGCCCTTAGGAGAGGGAATGTTCCAATTAGTTTGTAAAACATGCATGCATGAGTGCTAACAAAAATAACTCTACCTGCGGGCGGCCCTGAGGCAAAGGCATCTATGAACAAGAAGGAAACACCAAAGAAGAAGATCAAGATAGAATTGAATGCCATTGTAATGTGACTTTTGTTCAAAAATGATAAGCAAAACTATTTAATTACCAACTTAATTTTGACAAGTTTTGTTCTCATAACTTTGTGGATTTGGTTTCTTGATTTTCTCCACCTTTCGTATATTAAACTATTTTTACTAGATGATAGGAGATATAGCTAAACTTGGCTAGTTGATCCCTAGAATATCTAAAAGCCAATCACTCATTCAATTTTTAATAATATTGCTTACTAATAATATTGTGCTTAAATAGTTAAATGATCAAATTTTGATGGAATTTTTGTTAAAACTTATTTTTAACTGATTAAATATGCTATTTATAGAAATGATGTTCTATAAACATTAAACAATAGTAATTAATTATCTTGATAAAGAATTTTTGAAAAGGTAACAAAAAGAGAAAAAAAAAAGAAAAAAAAAAAAAAAAAAGAAGGTGATATGATGATTCGAAAGGATATAATGCACTCTGGTCATTCATAATTTTACTTATTTTCTATTCAACTATTCAAGTAAATAAACTTTGCTCATCAGATTAATTAGTTGTTATTGTAGGTTGTAACTGTGTGAATAGATATTCTATTGCCTAAACATAATATGGAGTAGATACTTACCTAAACATAATACGAATTTTTTACCTTGACCTATACTTGATTTAAATGACAAAAGTTTACACGCAATTTTAGGAAGAATTGTGCATAGTATATAGAAATGAATTAGTTAATGTGTGAATGGGATTGATAGGACTTCTCTCATGAAATAAAAGATGAGTTTGATTTACGTACTCAAATTACCGATTAAAATTACCGATTAATAAAGGTTAAGAAACAATAAAGACAATAAACAAAGAACACAATAACTTTTGTAAAATTGGTCACGGCCTTACTCCATAGTTCACAAGTGGGACTGTGGGGTTTTCTAGAGATTTTCTTCACTTTAATGGAGAAAAACAAAAGGAATATAAGTGATTCTTTTTATGGCTGGATTGACCAAATCTCATTGGTTCCTTTTATTGCACAAGGAAACCATTATAAAGCCTCCGCTTTCACTATATGTGTACATTTTATGTTTAGAAACTTTGGTTTAATACGCACCAAGATGGCAAGAACTGTATTGAGGAAACTTGTGTGGCATTTGGTGACCCATTTAGGTCTTAAAAGTGTCCTTCCTATTCTTTTTTTTTTTTTTGGTTAAAAGGAGCAACTACATTAGATTAATAAGTAGCAAAATATAGTACAGGCCAGGATCAGAGTTAAGTAAGTAGTTCCCATGTGATACATCACCTATTTGCAGTTTGCCACGCAGGGCCAAAAAGAAGACTAATATTTGAATCACTGTTAGTCCTAGTAGTAGAATGTCTAAGAAACATATTAAAATCCTATAGCCAAAGTACATTAGGAAGTAGAACGCTCCTGCTCCTAGTTAGATCCCTTCTGGCTGCCTTGGCCTGAGCATCTGCTAGCTGCAATCTCTGCCTCGGAACATGAACCAACCTGCAATTGACAAGCTGTTGAAGTAGGTCCCTACATATTTGGTATAAATAGGAGGCTTCATCAGTTGGGGTATCAACAGAATTAATCCCAGTGACTGCTCTGAGACAGTCAGACAAAATGGTAACATCAATCCAGTTGCTGTCTTTAATCAAGTATAAACCAGCCAATATAGCTAAGGCTTCAGCATGAAGAGAGCTTATAGTAGGGCAGTGGGCAGCAACTCCTTCTACCCAGGTACCCTGATTATCTATACACACACATGCTAAGCCAGCAGATAAAGAATCCTCACTGAAAGAGGCATCAACACAAAGTCTTTTAGCAGTGAAAGGGATAGGGTTCACATGGATTGTTTGGTGAGTTGACCAAACCCTATCCCTTTTTTTTAGCAGGGAAAGGGATAGGGTTCACGGGTAACCTGGAGAAAAGGTTATCTTTTTTTTTTTTTCTTCTTTTTTCCCTGCTTTTCCCTCCTACACCGATCTTCAACTAACCAAACGCCAAACACCATCCAACCTCCATTAATCCTTCATCTTCCACCTCAACCACCATGACCATCATCCATCACCACCAAACTGACCATATTCCCACCTTCCTCCTCTTCCCAGTTGAAGGAGTTATGTCTTCGTAGTGTGCAATTACTAGATATATAAATGGATGTGGATCAAATTATGGAGATAATTAAGTTCGTACATTTGGGTCGTCATTTTTCCATAGCTAGAGGTATTAACGATCTTTGGACTAGTAAAATAGCCCAAAGCCCAATTGGACGGATCCTATAAGGTCACACAAAGGGGCTAGATCGAGCATTAGAGGACGAGGCCCATCATGGGCCTCATCACTCTAGGTGGCCGGCCATGTAGTGGATTAGAAGGAGTTTTGAGCTTCGTGCCCTAGTCTAATTATAATGAGATTATAAATAGACTAGGTGCCTAGGTTTGAAGTTGTAAGGAATTAACTAATCAGTGTGATCAAACCCTAATTAGCAAACATGAAACCCAACCCCTCTCATAGTCCTCTCTCTCACACGGCTCTCCTCCTCCTTATTGGCGCCGGTGGTGTCTCGTGGTGGTGGTGGTTCGTGCGGTGGTCGGTTGTCCATAAAGGTGGTGATCGCGATTTTCCTCAATCACTCGACCAATCTAGTATTGGTGGACGGCTCGTTCGAATCTCGTGGACTAAGTAGAGGAGCAACGCTAGGGGCTCTATTCTCTCCCTGATTTGCCTGTCGAATAGCTTTGTGGAATTCACGCGTCAAAGGTATGATTATGTGTCTTGCGTGTTATGCATGTGATTCTTGGGATTGGTACTTGTTTGAATATGATTCATGTTATATCCGCTGCGTAGTACCTATAAACTCCTACAGTGGTATCAGTTAGCCTCTTGCATGAACGAGCTAGATCATAATAATACGATTATTTGATGTCCACGTTAATTTTATAATCAATTAAGAGGGAGAAATTAATTTAATTATGGTTCAATTATTATATTTAATGTGATTAAAATTTTGGAATTGATTAAATGTGATTTAATTATGCTCAAAATAGCCATGAAGAGACCGAATTTTAGCCCTAATATGTTCGAAATTTTCGAACCCCCTCACCCTAAATTTCGAATTTTTTCGAAAATCCTAGCCCTAAAATATGATTTTTGTGCTTGATTTTGATTTAATTTGATTCATTTTATGATTCATAATTTTAATCGGATTGATTTATGCATAAAAGTGTTTTGTGTATGATCATCAATTTAATTTTAAAAGTTAGAATTAAATTGGGATTAATTTTATGAAGAACCCTAATTTTAAAATTTTTAATGTGATTTAATTTTAATCTTTTGGACTGATTTAATTTAATTTTAATAAATGTTATTTTAATTAAATTAAAACACAAAAAAAAAAATTGTTTTAGGTGGTCGGCAACCGCGACTGGGTGGCGCAGCCATGTCGGCTGCCGATTAGAGGGAGGGAGGGAGGGTAGGCGATCAAGGGCGGCTGTGGGCAGTAGCGTGCAAGCGTTGCACGGCTGCTGCCACGGCTGCCAGAGCAGCTGCACGCTGCTGCCTTGCGGCAGTGGCTGCTGTTATGGCAGCCAGCCACCGTGGCTAGCTTCGGCTAGCCAACCACGGTGGCCGGCGGTGGTGGCTTGCAGTTTTTCAAAAAAGAAAAAATTATCTTATTTTAAAATTATTTCAAGATAATTATGAATTATTTTGGGATAAAATCAGTTTTATTTTGGATAAGATAGAATATTTTGAAAATATGATCTTTTATTTTTAAAAGATAAAGTTGGTTTTATTTGGATAAAATCTTTTATTATAGGATTAAATCAAATATTCAAAAGTTGTTATATTTGATATTATCCATATTTAAAGTTGTTAAATTGGTCATTATGCTAATTAAAGTGGTTAAATTTGGATAAGATTGACTAGGATATTCTGAGCATATTCCAAAAGGATAATAATTGATTTGAATAATGTGATTATCCCATAATTAGATTAGGATATAATTGATTTTAAAATTATTTGATTGGCTAGTAATTAGGATAGAATCTCCTAAATTTGTTAGGATAATCATGAAAGATTAAATATGATTTATCTTTCTAGATTAAAATATGATTTGATTCTATCTCATGACTAAATTAAATATATGATATTTTATAAACGGTCATGAATAATATATGATATTATCTAATTATGATTAAAATATGAGATATTTTAGGAAATGCGTTGACTTTATTATGAACATTCGATGTTGTAATTTAGACAAGCATGTTGAGTGATTTATTATATGACACTTTTATAATATATGGTATTATGTTGCTATATATAGACTAGTATGGCCCATAGATTCTTATATACGATCTGCGCATCGTGATGTATTTTTGTAATCTAAATACGGTTTGCGTACCGTTAAGTATTTTTGTAACTTTTATTCAAAGTAAATAGAATAGTTATTTAAATAGTGTTAGTCCAAAGAAACCCATGAAGTGAAGGCCCAAAGGAGCAAGGTGGATGGAGATCCATGATGATTCAAGTGGGAGCTTTTTCATTTCTAGTTTTCTCAGGACTAAGGGGCCATACTATGTCATGATTTATTGCATTAGTAGATTATGCATGTTAGATTTTATTTATGTTGATTGATGATGCGCTAGAGTTCACTAAATAATCACAACATAATAAATCTAGGTCCCAGTAATATTAAGATTGCTTTTCCAATTAAAAACCCGATGAAACCTTTGATATTTATGATGGGTCATGCCAAAGCTGGGTGTCATATTATATCTTAGGGGAGTGGGGGTAAAATAAATTTTACACTTTTAATTGGTTATGCTCAACAAGGTTACCTAAAGAGTTTAGAACCTTGAAGCAAAGGAAAATAATTAAACATGTGATGATTAATTATTCAACCAAGAGTTACAAGAGTTGTAATCAGTAAAGAGTTTACTCACCTTGAAAATGTAATGGTTGATGGTAGGGCAAAAGTCCGGTCAATCATTGCACAAATAAAGGATCTTGGAATCACTTAAATTCAATTGGGATCAATTAATTATTGAATAAAGTGTTTTAAAGTTACCAAATGAATGCGTTTATGGTACTTTAATTTTAAATTAAACATAATTATTAAACTTTGCCTTATTTTGACATAGATGGGTAGCCGTAACCACAATAACAACAACGTTTACAACCTTCGACCATTCCTTGAGAAGGATAGGTTGATAGGGGAGAACTTTTCCACTTGGGAAAGAATGTTAAGACTTGTTCTGAAATCTGAGGGTAAAGAGGATATCATTAATTGATACCCCATTACCAGGACCTCTGCCAGAAAATCCAACTGCGGCAGAGATCAAGAAGCACAGAGGAAGCTCATGACAGAGCTATACCTATCACTTGCTTAATGATTGCTACCATGGAGCCTAGTCTTCAAAAGCGTTTTGAGGA